TAATCATGAAAAATACACCACGCGATACACTTGTAAAACAAACAGGCTCTTAGAGCCGAAATGATAATATAGTGTTGACGATATATTTAAAAAAGTCCCTTCTCCTTGCAGGATTGTATAGCTCCATCAAACATGTCTCCAAGACCGTACTTAAATTTGAATCCACAATCCAGGAGCTTCTTGGATGAGAGGCTACATATTTTATATCCTTCAATGTCCTTCAAGGACGAAATGGATCTGCATCCAAGAGAGAGATGTAAGGCCCGCAAAATAAATTAAAAACAGCTTTCTTTAAAGATTAATGGAAACATGTAGGAGAAGCAGGCTCACTCTCTTGCTGGGATTTGAAGATCTGGGTATCTAGCAGAAAGAAATTCAAACATCTCATTGAGCGATACTTCGTTCGATGAACAAAGATATCTCCCTTTTGCATTAGAATTTTCAAGCAGAAATATGTGTGCCATAGCCACATCATCTATGTGCACCATGTTCGACTTGGTAAGGAATCGATAGTGATTCCTGTTGCCTGCACATTTAAAGCTGTCAAAAGTTCCTGTATGAATGCTGCAGCTTATAGCATCCATTAACATAACTTCTAGGAAGTGATTTCTGACATTAAGTTTACGTTTGTTTCATATAAAATAGCTTACGAGAAATATTTTCCTCAATTTTCTTATTTATTTACTTGACAAAACTTAGTCATTGTAAAATATTCTTAGAACAATATTTTTATGTAAGACAGTTTTCCAAAACAAGTTATTCTACTTGAAAAACAAACCATGCCTAAGCCATATATAATCCAGAAATAATTTTTTTTTTATAAATAACTTATGATAAAAATGATTTAACTTAATTAAACACATGACTGATAAAATTGATTCACAGTAACTAAGGAAATTAAGTTGCATAAGTTAGAATTAATGAATTAAAATTAAAATTCATGATTTTTTTTTATTAAGATGAAGATTTAACTAACAACCTTTTAATTTAGTTTAGAATTCATTTTGCAGCTAAATAGATTCTGAATTGTTTTTAAGCCGAAGTTAAAATGAACTAGTTTGCAAGAGTCATGGCAAATGAAACTTAAGAGAGTGAAAACATACCCAGAACCATGGCTAGTCCGATGTGCACAGAGCTTGGGATTTTAGGACAAATGAAGGGACCCAACACCAGGGAAGGAATCAAAGTCACTAGATCCAATCCATGTTGTTCGGCAAATTCCAGAGCTGCCCTTTCGGCATATGTCTTGGCAATCAAGGAAGGATTGCCAATTACATTTAGACTTCTGAAGTAATCTATGTCTGTCCATGCACTCTCATCCGCCACTTGCTGACCATTTCCACTAAATAAAACAGTCGATATACCTGAAGTGTAAACAACTCTCTTCACTGTCTTTGAATTTAGGCATGCCTGCAAAACACCTATGGTTCCTTCAGTAGCTCTTTTGATGACCATTTCTTCCGCTTCTTCTTGTGTAAAACGAGTTGGATGAGCCACATGAAAGACTCCTGTGCATCCTTCAATGGCCTCGTTGAAACTGTCTGGTCTGTCAAGATCCGCGTTAAAAATCCGGAGTCTCTCTTTCGCTCCTGGTAGATCTGTTAGATAGCCGATGCCCTGTTCACCATCTGGCCATATAAGATCAAAGGATTCATTATGATGAGTTTCGCTCTCGATCAGTAAAACCATGCTAGCAATTGACGTCATTCAATACTACATTTTTTGGATGCTTGGGAACTGAGGTTGACACTTTCCTGAAAAATCAAACGCGCAACCTTTTTCTCATACAGGGAGGGTGGAGTCTCTTCTTAGAGGGGGAGGAGGGGGGCTAGAACCTCATTGGAGACCATATTGATTATGAACATTGTGCCTTGATTTTGGCTAGCAAAAAGTGTGGGATGAGCATTGCCAGTGAGATTAACAGAGGGATTGAGGTTTTCTCACGTTTCGGTAATTAGCAGGGCCAGGATGCTTCATAAAGACTATATTATAAGGATGGAATATGTAACAATGAAGATGTTGACCATTAGTGAAAATTAAAGACTATTATTGTGTTTGATATTGTTATTGGTGGTGCTTTTCTGTATAGTTCTTTGTGTCTTCAGCATATAATCTCAGTATAAAATCATTTTGTTAAAGCATGTATACAAGCTAACAAGCAGAATCAACTAGGAATAGGAGTAAATCAAAATTCAGAAGTTGTATAAATGTTGGCACAAATTAGCTATAAATCCTGCCTGAAAGCATTTTCTCACGGGAAACATGTACAGCTATCGCAATCATATATTGAAGCTCAAAAACTGTCATACCTGCTACTACAATGATCAAATCATTAAGAAGTTATTTTATTCAGAGATAGAAAAATGAAAGTACTGACAAAGGAAATAAGAATCTAACCTGTAGGGTTGGATCTAACAGTGGTTCTAACAGTGTAACCTTGTTCAAGAAGCCTCATAATCAACCATGAGGCAACGAATCCTGTTCCACCAGTTACACAGACCACACCTTTCCCTGAATATCCTTCCATTTCTCCTCCGCTGTAAGACACTAAACTGCCTTCATTAAAAAGGGTTGCTCCCGGGGCCCCGACGTATTTCTGTATAAATCCCCGATGATAACAATGTGAAATGACTTGCAATTGTCGTTCTAATATTCTATGATATAAACCAATGATAGATTGTAATGAGACGATGATAATGGACAAACAGTCCAATTTATTTGTCCGTCCAAGAACAACGTTCATTTCATGCTCCCCTGTTTACATACATACATACATACATACATACATACATACATACATACATACATACATACATATATATATAATTGAGAAATTTATTCACAACTCGTTATTTTTAGATAACTCTAGCTATTTTACCTGTGCACCATTACGGGTTGGTTAAATTTATTTTAAAAAAAATACACAAGCTTTTTAAATGTGTTTTTTTTACAAAAACAAAATATAAATAATAAATCAAAAAACCTATGCATGCATTTAATTAAATAAATAAAAAATATTTTGTGTCAATAAATGGAATGAAAAAAAGTGTTAACGCATCTACTAAACCCATTTCATAGTGAATTGAATAATTTTTTTAATGCAAAAAAAACACGTAAATGTTATTAATTTATTTTTTGATGAGTAAAAAATATAATTGTGAATAAAAAAAGTTATTATTTACATATAATAAAATAAAATTAAGATTATATACGTTAATAAAAACATGTAAGATTTCGATCTAATTTTTAACATAGTAGAAAAATAGATAATATTGTAATTATTATAGTGTAACATTATTTTTTTAGTTTTTATATAATATTTAAAAAAAATATAAAGAAAAAAAATTTACATAAACAAATTACAAAAGAATGGAGATAAATAAGTACAGTGTAGAGTGATAAATATTCAAAGTACAAAGAATATTTTTTTTTCAAAAAATATAAAGAAAAAAACTAAAAAAAATATTACAAAAAAATAAAAATAAGAACTATTTTAGTGATAAATATATTAAGTATAAAGAGACAAAAAGGGAAAAAATCTGAGCAAATTTTTTTCTAAAAAAATTAAAAATAAATTATAGATTTATGCAGTAAAAAAATGAAAAGATTTATATAATTATCTCATTTTTACATTGAGAAAAGGTTTCCTTTCAGTATATAATGTTTTGAACCTCTCAACTTTGGAATGAATGATTTCTTTAATTCTACACAAAATGAAGTGTGATTTGAATTTTATAGTGATAACGAGGAGATAATGGAAAATATTAAACGTGAAATCTCATAATATATATATATATATATATGAGACCCCAAGTTCTATTGTCGTGTTATGTATCATATCACGGAATTGGAAAAAGAGAGGAAAAAGGTGTTATTGTATTGAAGGAACTGAATTAATTTAATGACTATATATATATATATATATATAAAACTCGCTAGCTAGGTAGCTTCTTGATCTTTGTTAATCTCTCCCTCTAATCTCCTAACGGGTATTTAAACCACCTTGTCGAGAGGGTAGAGATGAGGGACGAGAGAAAGAAAAAAGAAAAAGAAAAAATTGTTGCATTCCTTCTTGATCATGAATGAAAAGGTCATGACTAGTGTTTTTGTTTGCTTAGATGATAGATTAATGAATAATACAACTTGAAGCATTTTATTTTTAGAGTTAAATTGTTGTTTTGGGTTTTTATGCTTGCTATAATCACCATTGTCTTCATAATTATGTTAAAAAATTGTATTTTGTTAATATTCATGTAAGTTCTATAATTAACATGTTATTTTTATATTTTTATTTCTAAAATAACAAGAAAAAAAATAGAAAAAAAAATTCACCAAATGACATGTTTTCATATTGGATTCTTGCAACTTTTTAATCCTTTGAGATTTGACTCAAGTTAAAAGTTACCGGCATTCCCAAATCCTTAAATACTTATCCTGGTTTTGTAAAATTTCAAGTTAAAAAAATATTTTGCTATTTATTTTTTATATTTAGAGTAAACACACTCAATAAGAATAAGTGAACCTCATCAAAATGCCTTTCATAAACCTTTTCTAGGATTTAGATTGAGTTCAATGATTCTAATATAAACTCATAAATTATTCATTAACATGATTTGATTAATAATTAATTATAAATTATGATGAGGAGTAATCAATTTTATATTTGTCAATTCACCAAAATATTATCCAAAAATAATAACCAAAAGTGAAAAAAATAAACCAAGTATTAAAATGAATATGTTTAAGCCAACAATCAAGATTTAACTCATCACAATAAACTTGTTATCATCTTGTAGATAAATCATAAGTATATTATGTATAATAAACTATTAGAACTAGAAAACAAGAAAATTAATATAATCTATCTTGAATATAATATTTTAAGATGATAATATTTTTTTAACATAATTATTTTTTATTATAAAATTTTATTGATTAGTTAAATTTTTTTATTGATTATAATATTAAATAAAAACTCATTTTCACAAAGTTAAGATGCTTGCCCCTCTCTCACCCGGAAAATAGCATTTTCATAAGAAAAGGACAAGCCACAGCGATGATGTCGAATGCGACAAGAAGCATCATTGCCATTGATATAATTTGAAAAGCTTGAATTAGAAAGTGAATATAAAAATAAATCAATAGCTAAATCAACAAACTACCTCGTGTTTTCTAAGTAGATTATTTGAGAATAAAAAAGACTTGTATACATATTATGTTTTCGAAATATAACATGGCAAGAAACTCAAATACATGTAGAAATAGGGTTTAAATGATATCTTCTTTTGTCCAATAGCAGAGCCTAAGGAACAAAATAGACATGATCATAGTTGCAATTTATGGTGCTTATAAGGTTGAAGAGAACAAACCATATACAATTAAATACTCAAAACAAGCTATATCAATAATAATAATAATAATAAAAAGTACTTGATTTAAAAGTTCTTTTATATATATGATATTTGAGTTACAATATCATAATTTTTAAGCTAATTATAAGATGTATAATTTAATTGGTCATGTTTTAAATTTATTTTTATTTTTTAAAAATTATTAATTTTAGTTTTATAAATCTTAGAATTATTAAAAATATATATCATCATTAATTTTAAAATTCATAAAATTAATCAAGATGAAAACAAACTATTTTAGAAACCACATTAATAATAAAAAGAATTGTTGCATTTCAGATTATTCTTAAAATAAAACACCTTAACACGTTTAGAGAATTGAGCGATTACATAGTTGTGAATTATTCATAATCATAAAGAAATTATGATCTATATTTTACTATATATATTCATGTAAACCTAGAAAAATAATCAATTACCACTACAAAATAGCTAGATCCTCAGCACGAACATATGCAGGCCCTAAATATTAGAATGAATTAAATAAAAAAAGATCGGATGACAATGATTCACTATTATTGAATATAAAAAGCCTTTTGTTTTAATTAAGTTAACAAAAAAAATTAACACGGGTAGTATTGTGGAATGATCTGATCGTTTACTTTTATCAATAACTATCTTGGAGAAAGAAAGTGCTGTTGACATTACTTATTAATCTCAATTAACAAACCCATTATTCACTCACGAAGAGAAGAAAAGGATAAGTTGTTGCCAAGATTATTCTAAATAAACCCCTTCTCCTTGCAGGATTGTATAGCTCCATCAAACATGTCCTCAAGACCATGCTCCACATGTACCATATTTGACTCCATAAGAAGTCGATATCGATTCCTATTGCCTGCACATTTAACATGAATGTTCAAGTATCTTTACAGTCTAATGATACTGTAGCAATGATTTAGCCCATGATTGCTGAAGGAGTTCTTGTTGATCAGGTGTGCTAATAGGGTGTTTGGCCCTGCCCAGACCGCAGCGTTTTTTTTCAAAAATGATTTTTTTAAACTGTTTTTTAAAATTTAATTCAGTATGATTTCTTGTTAAAGAGAGTGATCATACCCAAGATCATAGCCAGCCCCACGTATAACGAGGCTGGGATTCTGGGACTATTGAACGGACCAAGAACAAGAGAAGGAATCAAAGTCACTAGATCCAATCCATGCTGCTCAGCAAATTCTAGAGCAGCCCTTTCCGTTTTTGTCTTGGAAGCCGTGTAAGAACTGGCAGTCAATTTTAGATCCTTGAAGTAATCTATGTCTGTCCATGCCCTCTCATCCACCACTTCTTGACCATCGCCACTGAACATAATCGCGGCTGCGCTTGAAGTGTAAACAACTCTCTTCACTGTCTTTGAATTCAGACATGCTTTCAGAATTCCTAAGGTTGCTTCCAAGGACCTTTTGGTGGCTTTTTCTTCTGGTTCTCTGTCAACAAGATCGAGGGAATGAGCCAGATGAAGGACTCCCGCGCACCCTTCAATGGCCTCATTGAAACTCTCTGGTTCGTTGAGATCTGCTTTGAAAATCTGGAGTCTCTCCTTCGCTCCCGGTAGGCCTGTGAGGTAGCTGATGTCCTTGTTACCATCTGGCCATATAATGTTAAAGAAGAATCGGTGCTCATAAATGTTAGTTAGCATTAATTAGCAAACAAATCCGTAACTTAGATAGGTTCTCTCCATAGTTGAGAGAATATATATATTCTAGGCATAACATATGAAAAAAGGTCAGTGAAATGGAAAATATCAGGAAAATAGCTTCACCCGGATAAGATCGAACGGTGGCTCGAACTGCATAACCTTGTTCAAGTAGCCTCGTGATCAGGCATGAAGCAATGAATCCTGTTCCACCAGTTACACAGACCGCACCTTTCCCTGAACACCTTTCCATTTGACTTCCTTTTTTACGCTACTATTAGAGACTATTGATCTCACCATGAACGAGGCTCAGACCTCTGTATTCTTTCCTTGGTTAGCACGTCTTCATGTATACATCCGGGCGAAGAAAACGATACAGAGTGACTTTAACTTTCATGGCCGTATGTCCAAGTAAGAAGGTACTAGAAACAAGTAAGAAAATGTCAGGACAAAAATCGCCCCTCTTAAGACAAAAATAGTATTTATACATGATTGTACGTATTTATGAGAAAAATTCTTTAGATGAGTTAACGAATATATGTTCGGATTTCTGAAGTACATTCGGAAATGTCAACAAATTGGATCTAATTTTAAATAAATCCAAACTAAGTCATTGTTAATTACGTATAAAAGTTAGCTGTAGGTTTTGTTCTTTCAAGTTGTTTTTGAATCAATTTTTGTTTATCAAAACTAAATTCCCCTCATAAGATATTAAATATTAATGATATTATCTAAATCAAAATTATTAACTTCGAGAAAATATCTTTCTCCCAAACTGTTCTTGAATAAAAATCCAAACCGATAAGTTAGAAGGAAACTCACATCCGAAGCTCATAGGATATCCATTATTGCTCACGATAAGATGACGAGAGCCGGTCCGACGGTGGCCAGAGGTTGCCGGGGACCGTGGGCTTTGGACTTAAGAATTTGTATATTATATGATTGTGCTTGGACCGACCCCTTTGATGCGATCAGTTTTTAAAGGGAAACTCTCGATGTCTCACGAAAACAATGCTGGATAGGCAATCAGAAAGTTTCTTATTAATTCAATATATTAAAAATATAATTAACTAGTTTCTCAAAAATGTTTTTACCAAATTCTAAGTATTTATCCAATTGTCATCCTTCCCATATTTTTTTTCAGAAGTAGAATATTCATAGACCAACTTGTCTGAATTGAGATTAACTCCTCGTTTAGACAAACCATAATAAGGTATTTATAATAAAATTTCCTCTTTATTTATTTAATACTCATCCATTCTATAATTAAATCTAAATATTTTTAGATTGAAATCCTAACCGCAATGAGGATCCTAAAATAGTTTTATGACTTGAATACATTTTTTCCCAGAAATTATCATAATGCTAAAAAATCTCTTTAGTGTTATATATATATAATCAAACTCATTTTCAAATAAATAAAATAAAAAATAAAACTAGAAGCCTTAAATGAAAACATTGATAGGCTGTTTTTAATATTAATTTATTTTTTCTATTATAATAAGCTATAGGGGTTGATCTTTGTATAATTTTTAAAGATTAAATTTTGTTTAAGATTAAATTTTTTATACTTCAAAATTATAAATATAAATTTCATTAAAAACATCACTAAATTTGTATTTTGAGAGTTGTTAAATTACTCCACGTTATCAAACCCCAAAAATTTCCCTCTGACTAACACATTAATTACTAATTGACAAAATCAAGAAAAAAAAAACAAAAACACACACACACACATATATATAACAGTTTCCCTGTCCCCCTTCTCCTTCACATAACGCAACCATCATTTGTCCTGTGTACCATGGATTCCACTTCTTACCTGCCCAAGGAATCCTCAAATTCCCAAATTCGATAAACCATATAACAATTCACAAAAAAATCACTCGAAAACACCAAACCCACAGGACAAAAAAACCTTCTTTTTGCTTCCTGTCTAGATTTATCTTTTAAGTTAATTTCACTTAAAATTCAGTCTACTAGAAACCCATCAAAGAAAACTTGAAAAGTTTGAGTCCTTTTTTATTATATTATTAGTATGCATAGATCTAGAGCTGTTATGGCTTGGAATGTGTTCAAGTTTTGTACGGCCTTAAGGGGTTTAGGCTCGATCATGATCTTGTTGGTGCTTGGTGTTGTTGTCGTCACATATTATGCTGTTGTTTTGAATAATTATGGCCCTGCTTTATATGATGGTGACATTGATTCTCTCGTTTCTCTTGCTGTCTTGATCACATTCCATTCTTTGGTAAGATTCTATTAAGAAAAGTGATATGTATGTTTGTTTCTGTAGAGTTCTTTTGCTTCTTAGATTTGTGCTTTTTTTCCCTAATTGTTTGATTTAAGTTTTCGAAAGTGGGTTTTTAAGGATGGTAGTAACTTTTTTTTCTTTTTTTAATTTTAAGTTCAGAGAATTTAGATGGAGCTAAAAGGTGGTCTCTTGAGAAACTTGGGAGAGAAAAAAAAGAAAATTCAGCTTAAAATAGTGTAAAAACAGCAATTTGTTCGTTATAGCTGGTGCTTATGTGAGTATTTTGTCTGAATTTTGCAGCTAGTGATGTTATTATGGAGCTACTTCTCTGTTGTTTTAACTGATCCTGGTAGTGTGCCTCCTAATTGGAGGCCTGCTATTGATGAGGAAAGAGGGGAGGCCGATGCATTGAATGGGTCGGAATGTAGTGGAGTGCAGTCTGACCAATTAAATCAAAGAATCCGGTATTGCAGGAAGTGCAACCAGTTGAAACCACCTCGGTGCCATCATTGTTCTGTCTGTGAGCTTCTATGCTATGATTTCTTCTGTAGCATTCTTTAGCTTTAGTTAGTTTTTCCACTAAAGAAGATGATTTGGCGTTCTGTTTCCTTTCAGGTGGGAGGTGTGTGCTAAAGATGGACCATCATTGTGTATGGGTTGTAAATTGTGTTGGGGCCTTGAATTATAAGTATTTCCTTCTATTTTTGGTTAGTTGGCTTTACTGCCTCACCCCGCAGAAGTTTCCTATTTCAAAATTCTTGTTTAACTTAAACAATGTGATTTGCTTCTTTCTATGCCTTTTGGCAAAATGTTGGTTTTTTTAATTGATTTTCGATGCATCCCTTGGGTTATAAGGGAGCTGTTTATTGTAATGAAGATAGGCTCTTGTTTTGTTTAAATCGTAAGCATAAATGTGGTTTGATGTTCTATTTCATGTCCCAATGGGTAGCTGAGGGAGTTATCTATGGTTCCATGTTTTCATCCAGGGCTCATCATAAGAAGCTGAAAATATGTTTTCTTACCATATCATATTGTCTAACATATAGGAAGTTTGGGACTTAACTAATTGTCTAAATATACTCCTGGTATCTTGAGTTTTGACAAAGTTTGAACTGCCTGCCTGTATATATATTAGCACACAACCTATGCTTATTTAGTGACAAATTTTGTGATCATACCAGCAACTTGCTCCTTTCCTGTATAGCTTGGATGTTATAGCCTAGGCTGTTTGACAATGCGCCAATTTTTGGTTTAGAGTTTGGTTTAACCTGGCCAAGATTTTCTGTGGACTGCCAACCACCAGCATCATTAATCTCAGTGTCTATCTTTTGAACCTGATGACTCAGATGTCATTATTTATGAGTGTGTTGTTTTCATTTTTCACTTCTTCTTACTTTCTTTCTCTTTTTTTCATTTGTAATCCAAAGGTGAAGAAATTGTCTTGATTTTAAAACATTGTTGACCTTTTAAAGCTTTGATAAATATATAATCAGATAGAAATGCTTGCTATAAGAAATAGTTTGTTCCTTTTTATTTGTGAGGGTGTACCAAATTGTCAGTAGTCTGACTTAGAATATCCTAATTAATTGCAATCTTAAATTTTTTATGCAGTTCTATACATTTCTTGAGACAAGTCTTGTAACTTTATCTCTTCTACCACACTTCATAGCATTCTTTAGTGATGGAGAAATTCCAGGCACTCCAGGCACTCTTGCAACCACATTTCTTGCCTTTGGTAGGTTCTACTGAGCTTAGCTTTCTAACCTACTTAATGGTGAAGTCCGCAGTAGTCTAAAACTATTATTGTTGTTTTACAGTCATAAATCTGGCATTTGCATTGAGTGTTCTGGGATTTCTGATCATGCACATATCTCTGGTATCTGCCAATACAACAACTATTGAGGTAATTTTTTTTTTCCACCTAAGTTTGTGTATTTAGACCAGATGTCAATCTGTCAGCTTTTGCTTTTTTGTTCTGTGGCATTCGGCGAGTCTCTTTGCCTGCTTTGTGGATATGGTATAAGAAACCATAGTGACTCTTTTTGTAGTTTCAATGTCTAATAAAAAGCTTTCCATGCTTTGTGGATGTGGTATAAGAAACTATGATGACTCTGTTTGCAGCGTCAATTTCTAATAAAAATTGGTAGACAAGTAGGTATTTGTGGAATAGTTTAACTACTGCACTGGAGGGTCTTCATATCACATCATTGTGTTGCTTTGCCCCATGCTTGTGAATGTTCACAGCTCTGGTCTTTGGTACTCAATTTCCTTGGTTGTGTGGATCTCCTGATACACAATAATTGAAAGTATGCTTAGAATTGCAGCCATTTCTGTTAAAGATCTGCTGATTGAGCTGGTATTGTCTTGTTTTCAGGCATATGAGAAGAAGACCACCCCAAAATGGCGCTATGACCTTGGTCGAAAGAAGAATTTTGAGCAGGCTAGTACTTTCTACAAATTATTTTTGATGTTTTTTTCTTTTCTTTCATGCCTGTATGAAAGCTAAGAAAGAGTAAAAATTAATCCTGTCGCTGCTTTAATGAACTTATGTTATTTCCTTTTGAATTATTTCATGGCAGATTATGTGTGAAAGGTGTGAGAATCCTCATGGCAGGATGGCTATAAAATACAATACTCGTTTCATACTCAACAATCTCGCTACACTGTGAAAGTGCAATATCATAGCACTCTTTCACTGTAAATCAGAAAAACATCATATTAGCATACCAATGTTATGTAGCCATGATAAATGCCTATTAGCTTTAAGGAATGTGTTCAAGGTCTGCAGTTATCTTAGGAAATTGTTCCCAGCGTGCTTGATATTTACCTCTTTTAACATGCATATTGTCAAGGTGTGTTGAAAGGGCAATCATCAGGCCTAATAAATTGTTGATGTGGGATGTCAAGTTGTTATAACCATATCCTCTGCTGAATATTCTCGAATGTGTTGTGCTTTTGTTTCAGGTGTTTGGAGCAGATAAGCGATACTGGTTCATTCCAGCTTATTCAGATGAAGATACAAGGCGAATGCCTGCACTTCAGGGTATTGAATATCCATCGAAACCTGATTTTGATTCCCAAGAATTCTAGGCAGCAGTTGTGCATCCATGAACTGGGTTTTTTTTTTCTGTAACAATAGATGTTCGATTGCAAATTAACCAGTATACAACTTGCAGCTGCTAATTTGCCCCTAACCATTCATTCCCCCGGACATATTGTAGAAATAACCAGAGGGGGGGGACAGGGAGCATTGCATTGAGAAGCTGATCAGGTGAAGCAATACCTAGGTTGCTTGAATAGTGGGGATGGCATGAAAGGCTGATGTTTTATATATTGTTCTGATTATCAGGAGCTTGAGAATTGTAAGATAAGGAATGTGGATTCTTTAGCACGTGGTGCGTTGCTGATGTTTTTGTAAGTTTTGTTGTACCATTTGAATGGAAATATAGAAACTAGTCTGGTTTGCATTGCCGGATCTTTCCATGCTTGGTTTAAACGGAAAATATACTTCAACGCTGTGCTTGTGTGCCATGAGTCATAAACTAGGCCTTGTTAAAGCAGGATCAATGATTTATCATCTTACTGGCTTCTGTGAAATATGTGTAGTCTTCCCAGTCAAATTTATAGTGTGAGAGCCGTTGGTGATTCCAATAGCAATAATGTTTTCCTTATTTATTATTTGTTCGACGGAGAGTTTCTAACCCGACTGTTTTCTAGAGTGTCCCTTGACTCATAAAATCATCAGCATGAAAATGTTTGTTCTTGCTTCTCTTTTGTTGTAAGTTCGGTAAAAATTGTTCTGATCGTGAAGAAGAAAGAAAAAGAAGACAATAACCAACATAGTGAAATAAATAAATAAAACAAAAACATAAACTGTTCTCTGAAGACGTGCTTCAAAGGATTGAAGTGACAACTTGGTGATAAAGATTTGGCATTAAATTTTGTAACAGAGGGTGTAAATAACAGCTTGTTCCTGATGTGATAACTTTGGATTTTAAAATTTCCAAGATATCTAAAATTCGTCTTGAATATATTTAGTTCTGATGAATATATATATATTGATCCGAGAACATCATCACTGTTAAAAAAAGATTCCGTAGTATAACAGAAATGAAAAGGAAAGAAGGAATAAAAGGGATCGAAAAAGAAAAAAGCCAAAAAAATCGAAGAGGCCGGGAAATGCAATTCAAAATTCAGACAAATGGGCCGAACATGGGAAGAAAACAGAAACTAAGTACGTGTCGTGTTCTTTTTAACTACACGTGTCCAGTTCTCGGTAGTTATAATTTCTCACCACGAAAACAGAGGACTGCGCTTTTTGGGTTCCTTCTCTCCCTCTCCTTTTTTGTTTGAATTATTTTTTAAAATATTTTAAAAAATAGATTAAAATAATAGTTTTTTAATTTATTTTTATTAAAATATTTAAAAATAAAAAAATAATTAATTTTTTTTAATAAAAATCTTCAAGTTAACTTACATATAACTTAATTAATTTTATAAATTCTAAAATTAATTACCATATAAATTTTTTATAATTCTAAAATTTATTCAACACCTAATCATGCAACACACATCAAAATTAAAAACAAAAAATCAAATTTTTGATAAATGTGCGGCCAGCCACGTTGGTCCAAAAATCTCAATCGCTTCATTTGCCAGTGAACTCTCTCTCTCTCTCTCTTCCACTTTCCTTCAATTTCCCTCCTGCCAAACATGGTAACATGTCCTCGCACTGGTCAGTGAAATTATAGCAATGATTAAGCTGAAAACAGTTTTTCTTTTGGCTTTCAGTTTTCAGTTTGTTATTTCGATGATGTATTTATGTGATCAGATCATTAGAAGTTCCATTGTTTATCCGTTTTATGCTACAAGATAGAGTATGAAAGGCTCTTATAATTGTCTTCCCCAGAAAGTCGTTTCTTCCCTGTTTTTTCAAGCCTTTGTATATTACTTTAGGAACGTTGTGAAGACATTTTACGTTACATTATCCAAATCCTTCTCTCCCTATCTTTTCATCTCAAATATATATAAAAAATGGTTTTTTTTTTTTTGATTTACGTGGGGTGTCCGGACCAGCTTGCGCGCATCACGACTAATCCCCACGGCCTACTAAATACCCTGCAAATCCAATAGACATGTAAGACACCACAGGGATGACAGACGTGCACGCCAGGACTTCAACCGTAAGATTCTTATAAAAAATGGTTTTCTTTAAGTGAATTTGAAAGTGCTAAATGATTATTGACATTTCTTGGGAGTTGCTATATTGGCAATAGCATTGAAGACGTATTTGGCAGAAGAGGTTTGATGGTTTGTGGTTTGATTGATTAATTCTTTTTCCTTGTAAAATTGGATTATCAAAAGCTTATTAAAATTTAAATTTTGTTGTTATTTCTCTCTTACAAGAAAAGGTTTTGAACTTCATTCGCCGTACTTAAGAATTGTAAGAATCTTGTCTTCTTGTGCCCCTTGTTTCATTGGTAGAAATTGTAGTGTTCTCTGGGTAATTATGTTAATGCTCTTGTTCCAGCAGTAACATTCATTCGGCTTTTCTGAATTCATTTACTGTTTAGCGGAGTTGTGCAGTTCATGGACCTTTTCTTTTATGCTTGGTTTTGATGACCACCAAACCATGAATCCATTTTTTGTTTTCCAGTGTTTACGAGGAAAGACCATAAAAAATGCAGAGGGAAGGGAAAGGCAAGGTAGAAATGATTTCTTTGCTATGGGTGATCCTTTTGGCAATTTCCCGGGCTTTGGTTTGATGCCGAGCCTATTTGGAGGGAGGGATCCATTTGATGACTCGCTCTTCACTCTCCCTTTTGGTAGCATGTTTGAGTCTAGCAGGTATGATACTCCAGTTCTACTAGCAGGGACGTATTGCAGACCGATAGAGCAAAGGCGTTAGTAATAGAAGAATTAGCGTCTGATGATGAGGGTGAAAAAGAAGATGTGCAAACTGGGGATGAGAAGAGTGACCATCAAAACAACATTGGTTCAAGCCAAGAGCCATCAGTTGAGCATCCTGATGGTAAAATAAAAATTATTATTGGTTTATATCTGCTTTGTGCTAGTGAATTGTTTTTCTTGTGTATCAATGATTGAAACTGTGGTTTGTCTGATAGAGAGGGAAAACAAGAGTGTGAATTATAGGAGTGATCATAACAGAACTGAAGGAACAAAGCCACAAATCCGCAGTTCCATTTTTCAGACTTGCAAAGCCACATATGGAGGTATGTATGGGGCATATTATACTTCCACTAGGACCAGAAGGACAGGCGGTGATGGAGTAAGTAAATTGTTCCTGGTCATGTGGATATTTTAACCAATGCCTTCTGTTTTAATTTACGATTCTGCACCAGGTGGTGATTGAGCAGAATTTCTAATTCTTCAATAAACACCTCCCTTAGTTGCTTGCATGCAAATAATTAATGGCGCACAAGTATATCTTATGTGGTTGTCGCTCACGCCAGCAACACATGAAACATACTATAATTCATTTCGGTACCAAACACTTTTTTATTTATTTATTTTGGATTCGAGAAAACATTACCTCTTGAAAATTATATTTTATGGTTTAAAGTGAGCAAGTAAAATCCTGGCTGTTTCAAACTCTTATAAAATATGTATATTTTGATTCGAATTTAAAATTTAAAATTTATTGTATAGATCTCAAATCTTTTATTATTGCATTAAGCCTCTTTAAAACAGTACCGAACACTCTAAAACAAAACAAATAAAATATGGCTAGTTTGTCAGCTAAAAAAAATGGCTAGTTTGTCAGCTGAAAATGCCACCACAGCTTATCTCTATGCCCTGAAAATGGTCGGCAATAGCATCTTATATATCAAATCTCCTACAAAATTCTCAAAGTTTTGTGAGAAGAATGTTTTGCGTACTGTTTTCTTTTTTCTGATTTGGATGCTTTATTTGATAGGGAACAAGAGAAAAGGAGCTTGATGTAGCCGAGTTCATATCAGCCCTGGACAACTCGTGGTGATAGCGTCCGCTAGCATTGATGGATCCACCATACTGTCATTAGTAGCAGCTGCACATCAAACTGGTGGCAATGTGGTCTGTATTATACCAACAAAACCCAATATTTGTGCATCAAGAAATGCTCCAGGACCTTATGCAGACTGTGTTAAGTTTGTCATAGGAGATGCCAAGACCCTATTATCAAAGGGCAACAGAGGGGCAGATTTTGTACTTGTAGATTGCGATCTTCATGATTGCAAGGAGGTGCTTAGAGCTGCACAGGACTGCTCTTTCTTTTATGATTAGAAAGGGAGCTTCAAGACTAATAACATGGATGTTAGTTGATTTGATGTAAAGACCACATTGCATGTAACAAGCATCTGACTTCATGTTCTTGAAGAAGTTGGATGTTCTCAATGAGTTATTTGTGTTTTCCCGAAATTCCAAACAAAAAAGAATGGCTTTATTTTAAATCTTGTTCACAGAATAAATAAACAGGCTAAATCATTGCACTTTGTCTAAAACCAAGTGTAATCCATAGAGAATCATAGAATGGAGCAGAGTGTCTGATTCATTAGTCAGGATAACAGAAGGCCTCACGATTATCTTCTTTCAATTTGAAATCCGAGGATTCTTCACAATGCTTTTGCACATATTCCGAAAGTGTGTTGATCTTAAAATGTCTTTTCAATAATGGCTATACGACTGCTTAATTTCCTGGAACAAATTTTATCATACTTCAGATCATGATACAAAAAATTGAAAGCAGTGATGATATTTTCTATCACAGATTCTGATCGTTCAGATATTAGGACATCTGCTTGAACGATTAAGACCATGACTGGGTACTTTCCTCGTGGCTGGAAGGCCTTTTCTCTGGACATTTCATCAACTCACGCGCTTATTGTATTGTGTTAAAGGTTTGTTTTTAAAGTATTTTATTTGAAAATATATTAAAATAATATTTTTTAATTTTATTTTTAATATTAATACATCAACATAATTTTAAAATATAAAAAAATAATAATTTAAAATTAAAAAAATTCAATTTTTTAAACACACGATTGAATTATAAAGCTAAATAGATTCTAATAATTTCAAACTTATATTCAAGAGGATAAATTTATCAAGAAATGCCATCAAAAATAATAATTAGATATAAAAGCTGAAAATTGAAACAAATCTTTTAATTAACTCCAGGTCTATTAAACTCCATCAACTAAAAAGTGATGACTAAAATTTAAACTTGCACATTTTCCTTATTTTTTTGATGAAAAAAAAATATATATCAACATATTTGTTGAATTTGACACCTCATGTTTCTACAAAACACACAAAGCATCACATTTGTTGAATTCTAAACCAAAAGATAAAGTTTCAATTAAGGATAAAATAACAATACTCATCTTAACCAACCAATCATGATCACTTAGTGTATATGAAAATTTTAGTAGATTATTTTTAAATAATAAGTTTATAATAAATGAAAATGATAGTTTATTAGAGATGTATTGCATTCCATACTAAAATCAATTTTCTTGGCTAAAAAAGAACAAGAAGAAAAAAAACCCAACATAGAAACTTAACAAAAATCAAAACTTGGAAATAAAAGTTTAACAAGATATCAAAATCAATTCTTTTAGATTCGGCTAAACATCAGGTTCATACATCTATGAATCTAGTAAGATATTAAACTCAAAACTTGTAGACTCGGTTAACAGGCCAAAAAATCCATGGATCTAATAAAATACTTAATCGAATATCTTTAAGTCGAGGATTATTTTGAATTCAAGCCCATAACATAGAAATCTAGGATCATCATATCTTTACACCCTAGCCTTACAAAAAAATCCTCTAAGAGTCGCTCATACATCAATCAAATTAATCCCATTATCATTAATATGGGATAATAGATAATGTTGGGTCATTTTTTATTGACATGTAATTCTCTTATCAACATTAATATCATATAAAAAAATACTTATATCAATATTAATATTGATGCAAGGATTCCCTCTCCTAGTTGGATGTGAAGTTGGATGTGAAATATGAAGAGAAAAAAATTAAAACTCCTCGAATTAAAAGAAAAATAAAACATTTAAGATATAAAAATTATAAATATTTTCTGAACAATCTAAATAAAAAGTTTATAATATTCACTCCATTACAATATATTCTTAGTATTTACTATGCATGAATTAAAAATAAATATTTTTTAAATTTAATATTTATTTACTAGAACTCCTCATTAAAAAATCATTAACTTAATTATCAGAAAAACCTAAATCCCACAAAAAAAATTTTTTTTGCAAGAACTCGTACCTTGATCACCAACCTTCTGTATCCTTAGTTATGAAAATTAAAAAATTAATATAAACATATGATCATCAGTTATGAAAATTAAAAGATTAATATACATGTAATCATCCATTATTCAAACTATCAAAAACTCCAGCTACTTAATATTCTCAAGATGCTTAATATTCTGGATTCTAGAGTATTATCAATAATGAACATGACATCAAGGAAAAAAATTAAGAAATCTTTGAATGAAATTAAATGAGCGATACTTTCCATTCAAAAGGCATTATAATTAATCCACATCAAATTAAGTACAACTATATTTTATTTTAGTACATACATACTCCATTTAGGTTTGGGAACTACTACTCATTAAGTCTCTGGACTCTCGTCACTACCTTTGTGTTTCTCGTAATTACATCAAGATTTTTGTTCACGAAATACATGTTCCTCACCTGATTTTCGATCGATATGCTTAATCCAACGGCTAGGACCACCTTTTGAACTCTCATTCCCACCATTACTCCCTATATGAGCCATATCCAATCCTTGCCCAACAGGCAAATACACAGTTTTAACAACACGTGTCCCTCTCTCAAGCACCCCATGCCATTTAAACCCAGAAACAGACTGTTGAAAGGCATTCTTGCACGCCAACACGGCACCTTTATGGCTCAACTTAGCAAAACTTAAAACCCTAACAAAATCCCTCCGCCTACAATCCGCCACCAGAAAATCCACCCCCACAAGCCCTGCCATCACCTCTTCTGCTTCTCCTACCAGCACCTCTGTCTGCCTCATGCCGACGCCATGCATGGCCTTTACATACTCCGATCTAGACCCTTCATCTGGGACTACACACACATGTCTTCCACACGTATGCTTAGCCGCCACGGCTAGGCCGATGCTCGTCGCTATCGGGCCAGCCTTGGACCAGGATTCAACTATTAGCTTTGCGTTCCAACCGGCAGCCATGGCCGAGAGAAGTTCTGCTACACTCGATCCTTTAGAATCCCCACACTGCAATAAAGATTAAAAAAATGAAAAATAAGTAAATTAAAAATGAAATTAATAGAGAATAGACATAAAAAGTAGAGTTGCGCGTTTAAGGTCGGGATTTTCTTACTGTTTTGACAGTACAAACATAAGCTTTCAAAGCTGTATCTGGGGTCCAAACCAGCTTCATAATCTCTAATTTACTCTGATCTCCTAGTATTTCTTTCAGCTTCTCTCCTCTACGTTTGGTGTTCTTTCTGTGGGGTGTTGGGTGTTGAGAGTTGAGAATTGAGACTGAGTTTTTGGTGGAGGCGTTGGGTCTCTAAAGAGTCTGAGAAATATCTACGAACCGCGTTAGATCTTAACCCCCCCAAAAAAAAAAAAAAATATATATATATATATATATATGGGGTTGCATATATAATCCAAGAATATACTTTTGGCAATTGCTTAAATAGTAGCAATTTAGCTGAAATAATAAATAAATAATAATAATCATCTTGCATGGTTGTAATTAATTAGGATCACTGCGAGCTTAAGACAGTTGTTGAAACTAGTGGGGTCAGAAAATTTACTTCTTTTTTATTTTTTTTTCCTTGCTGATTAAGCAACGAAATGGATAGAATTGCCAGCGGTGCATGTTAAAGTCCTCCTCACAGAATATAGCCACCTGTGACAAGCTAACCTCGCCACGAAATAAAGAGGCGAAGTTAAGTTTACTTGGATGAAAACTAAATTCTTTTGCTCTTCAACATTGTACTAAATAAGACATCGGCAATCCGTGCGTTTGTTTTATAGAAATTTATTTGTGAGAAATTATTTTTTATTTTTTATATTTAATTATTATTAAAAAATTAATCAATGAAAAATATTATTTATTAATAAAAAATACTTTATTGTTAAAAAATTTATCTTGATTTTTGAGAAAATATTTTTATTTTATTTTGAATAAAAAACAATTTTTCAAAGTTGTTAAAAATTTAAAAATATCATATTATTTTTTTATTATACCAAATTTGATATTTAAATTTTTGACTACTATCTATTTTGTTTGATTTTTTAAAAAATTTAATTTAATTTAATTTTTATATTAACTTTAATCTTTATTTTTATGATTATTATTTATTTTTTTCTTATAATTCTTTAAATCAATAGCATACAAATAACTTGATTAAAACTAATTGATAGGTTGTAGTTTTGCTCTTTCTCATATTCTCTCTACTAGAGTTAATCTCCTATGGTTAGTTATTTGAACTCAAATTAATATATCTTAGGTTATTAAGAGGGTAGCCAATTTATTACCCCCTACATTTCTTTCTTGGTATTTAATGGAGGGAAGGAAGAGGTCGTTGGCAGAAAAAATATTATAATTTTCATTTTTATTTTAAGCTATCGAATTAAGCAACTTTTCAATTTCTTGTTAGCATTTAATTTCTGTTTATTTTACAAATCAAACTGCTAATTAAAAAGATAAACTATCCAAATAGTACTTTTGTATATATGATATGATACCAAAAAAAGACATGTCTTCTATCTAGGTATTTTAGAATAATGGTTCATTTTATAACAATTGACAATTATTATTTGTTTAATGCAATGTGGTTAAGTTACCAATTCCCTTCGCTGGCGACGTCCTAAAATTAAGGCTGTTGTTTCATCGAGCTTCAAAAACTAACCAAAAAAATAAACAAAAGTAAACAATGTGGCATGATTACCATACATGGTACTGTGAAGCTTGTTACATGTCATTGTGAAATTTAATAGTATTAATAATTAATAGAAAAAAATAAATGTCATCGTAGACTTTAACACTAGATTTTTTTTAAAGTATTGTTATGATTTTTTTTTAAATATTTTTTATTTAATTACTGTGGACTTTAACATTAGATTTTTTTTTAAAAGTATTGTTGTGGTTTTTTTAAAAAATATTTTTTATTTAAAAATATATTAAAATAATATTTTTTTATTTTTTAAAAATTATTTTTAATATAAGTAAATTAAAATGTTTTAAAAACATCAAAAAATATTAATTTAAAGTAAATAAAAAAATAAAATAATTTAATTTTTTAAAATATATTTTTAAAATATAAAAACAAACAAGACTTATCTTTGATCGTCGTTTA